GGTTCGACTCCCCCCTGCGCGCGGTGAGCGGGACCACCAAGCAGCTGCAGCACACCAAGCATCTGCAGTCTACCACCAAGCAGCTGCAGCAAACCACAAAGGAGCAGCAGCAGCAGAAGCAGCAGACGCAGAGCAGCAGCAGCAGCAGCAGCAGCAGCAGACGACGCGGCGCCAGCAGAGCACCGAGCGCAGCAGCGCCCAGCGCAGCAGCGGCAGCAGCAGCAGCAGCAGCACCAGCAGCAGCAGCAGCAGCAGACCACCCAGCGGCGGCAGCAGCAGCAGCAGCATACCCAACGCCGCAGCAGCAGCAGCCGCAGCAGACCACCCAGCGCCAGCAGCAGCAGCAGCAGACGACCCGGCGCCTGCAGAGCACCCAGCGCAGCAGCGCCCAGCGCAGCAGCGGCAGCAGCAGCACCAGCAGCAGCAGCAGCAGCAGACCACCGGAAGCCCGGCTAGCTTTCGTTCACCCCCTCTGGCCTCAAGTACACATGTCACTTACAGTACAACCTTCAGACATCTAAGCAGGACCTGTTAGGACATCTTGGGACTTAGGACCTACCACCATTTTTAGCAGAAAATAACACCACAGATGAGTGGCAAATCAACAAACCCTCCCACACCTCGCGTCTTCGTCTATGGCGCACAACTAGGCCTTCTGGTCCTGTGCAGTTGCGATCGCTTGGAGCTGTTCGACCTCTTGGCGCTGCGCAGCGATGCCGAGCCCAGCGCGGCGCACGGCGCCACGCACGGTGCCAGCTGGGCGCTGGCGGCCCAGGAGCTGAGAAGGATCTTGTCGGAGGAAAGCATGCTGAAAGTCGTCCCTTGGACAAGAACTGGGGGGAAGGGTGGGGCACGAGGGGTGGGGAGAGAGAGGGAGAGGGTGAGTAGTGGATGGAGTAGATTTGTTTGTTTGTGTCTTCTTTTCCGTACTTGTTGGAGGAATCTACAGGATCCCCCCAGTTGTGATATGAAGCCCATGGTGAGAAACGTGGGAACGTGATGTCACGCAGTCATGCATGGCTCAAGCTGTGGACTGTCAGAGGATTGACGTCCAGTCATTCTACCATTACCCTATAAGACCATGGTGGTTTGCGAAGGTCACAGACGATCGTTTTTTGCCTATTAGTACCGTTAGCAAGTAACATGTCCAGCCAGGTGTGACGGGACGTGTCCGCCAGGTGTGGGGTGGCGTGGAGGAGCTCGTCGACATCGCCATCGAGCTGGGCTTGGGCATCGCCAAGTCGTTGAAACCCAATGAGAAGGACCCCGTCGGGCCTGTGCCTTGGTCTGGAGGATGAAGGAACTGAAGGAACTGGTCGGGGTGGGGTGCTTCTTGGAGGGAAAAGGGTGGGGGGTGACCAAGATGTGAAGTGTTTGTCAACGGCTTAAATTTAAATCAATTTATAGTTAGGTTAAGTTTCCCTAAAAGTCTAGGAACCAAATAATTAGTGCTTCCTTGAAGAAGCGTGTTCGCTATCATGCGTCCTGTTCCTAGGAGCGAACTAGTTTCTCCCGCCTACTTACTGAAGTAGGAAGGCAGGGCCTCGGGCTTAACAAAAAGAAACCTGTTCTTGGTTTCCAGCTGCGCAGGTCTTGAACTCCCAGAGTCTTTTTGAAGAGCTGGAGCTGGGCACAGCCTGGCCTGTGATCATGCGGCGCTTCACAGGGCTGCGGCTTTGCTTGGAGGAAGAGGGTTCCAACTGGGCACGGAGGCCAGTTTTGTGGAGATTATGCTGTTCTTCGATATATATATAACTATATATATTAAAGTGTACAATTCAATACTCTGGACGTTTTCCCCAAGAGAGAGAAGTATTGTTCACCAGATGTTATTTGACATACATACAGTTTTAATATTTGTGCTGTGGCCTCAAGTCATCCAGTTCAAGCTGACTTTGCCATGAAAGATATTCAAAGAACGTGCTCACAAGATCAATTGGAAAATGGAGGGACACCCGAGGACACCCAAGGCAGTCGGCCAACATCACACTCCTTGAAAAGATCATAGAGGTGGAAAACCATTTGCGCCACCTGCTTGTAGAGGAAAATTGTCATCCAAGGGGCCATGCATGGCCGTGCCATCCACTTCCATGATTCAGGGAGTACATGATTGTCTTAGTCCGCAAAGACAGGCATGGATGAAGCAACGGCCACGTGCTTTCCATCTCAAAGCCGACAGGCCATTGAGAGCCTCACAGCTCCACCATGCTGCTGTGATGACTTGGACGCAACTCTTGCTGCTCCACGCCTTGTGTAGCCGCGGCATTGTGAAGGAGGAGAGCTTGCGCAAACACACCTGCGTGCAGTTGCTCGACTGAGACAAACGCTTCAACGCAAGTGGTTTGGATTTCCAAAGATCTGAACGGTGTCCTCGCAATATCCAGTTAGACCCATGTTTATTCCCTATAGTACAGTTCTTCGGTGTTCGGTACCATATGCGAGAATCGATTTCCAGGTGCGAGACTGCACAGGCTCGGTTTGCATGGATCAAGAAAGCCTAACCTCTTCAAGAAACGATCGCTGGATTCCCGGATTTTTGTCCACCTGGGAACCGCGCAGGATAGCCCAATGGCCGGCCAGTGAAGTGGAGCTGAAACTAAAAGTATATTATCATTTGGTTTAAAATGATCGGTATATACTGTATATCACCCACGCATCGGTCGGTCTGATCCGCGACGATGGCACAGTGGACACTCTGGTCCGCATGTGCAAAAGACCCCAAACTATACAGGGCTCAAGGAGAGCCACTAGAAATCGAGAAACGTGGTCCGCCATGACGCGATAGTGCGTCCACAGCCGGCACAAAGTGTCTGTGCTAAGTAAAGAAGAACGTGGTCTTCGACCAACGGAATTGCATGAACAATGGCACTCTGCGGGAGGACACGACCAGCTGACTTAACGAAAGTCGCTGAGAAACTTCCTGGGCACAACTGAACATCATCAAATTTCAGCAGTAATTGGAAGGCCTGTCGAAGCCGGCAGGTAACATCATGTATCAATAATGTTTGGTAGTCAGCATCAACTCTTCGCCCTTGTCTGTGAAAGAGGATTGCCAACTCGCAAAATGAAACTGCCTTCTGTACATGATGCTGCCAGCGGAGTTGCCTTGCGAAATCGCAAATGACGTTCCAATCATTGAGTGAATACTTCCACGAGGTAGGGGGTGCCACCCTTGTGGGAATTTTCGGCTTCCATGGAAATTGTGCTCTGATTGGGCACCACTCCCACTGAGGAAACATTGCACGCGCCTCATCAAGAGTGGGGGAGTGTCCCGTGGACGACCCCTGGTCAGACGTACTCAACCCCTCACCACCAGGTTGCAGTGTATCCAGGTGTATATGCAGGCGAGTAAGCCATTCCTGATGTAGAACCGTGGCGGCTCTAACCACTTCGGCCATGTGAGGGTAAATGGGCGCAATGCGAAGAGCAGTGGCCTTGGCAACGCGATCAGCGTCTCTGTTGCGCATCACATGCAAAATGGAGGAGCCTTTAGCGGCAATGCTGATTGGGTCAAGTTGGAAGTTCGGGATGTCATCACACAAATGAGCTGGAATCCAAGTAACCTGTAGCGGTTGTTCATGGTGTTGCCGACGTGATGCCAAAAGTTGCTGACACGCTGTCCACCAGTCTGAGCACTTCCACCCCAGCTTGATGTGGCCGGTACGAAGCAAAAAGTTGGCATTGTTGACGACAGTTTTGTTGTCGCAGAAGATGTGGACTGGAGCGGCAGTTCTCGACAATGCCATCCACAAGGCCCACAATTCAGCCACATAACTGGATAAAAGCCAACGACGCACACGCCCAGATGATACAACGTTGCCATCAATATCAACGACTGCGTAGGCAGCTGTACCCTGAGCATCGGCTATTGATTCTAATCAATAACTTTTTTTCCTTATTGAAGGTATGTTTTTTTCAACTCAAAATAATTGAATATTTACTATATCTGTTCAATAGTAAATTCAAATCCAAAAACCATTGAAAAACACAATGAAAATCAAATGAAAAAGGGTCAAAACACACCAAGTAGAATCAATAAGAAAATCAATTGCAAAAATGACTTTGTAAGCCTTCCCAGCCCAGTCTTTGAGCAGCTCTTTTCCTCAGGAAATCTTAGTACGCCTGCCCTTTTGCCAAGGGCACATGGATGAGATTCCATCCATGCCATGGCTATGGTGAGACTCGACCCTTTTGTCAAGGGGACTTGCTGATGTGTTGCCCTTTTGTCAAGGGGACTTGGACTTGCGCAGCTGACAAATTTCCTTTTGTCAAGGGGCTTCTGTCTCTGCATTTTCTTTGAAGCTGAAGCCTGGTCTGGTCAACTGTAGCTGCAGCAAGACTCGATACTTGAGTGACAGTTTGTAAGAAAGTTTGCTGCTCTTCAATCCAAAGCAGCAAGAATGCCCTAACTGGCTGATCTTGGAGACAAAGTCCTCACCTCTGAAGTTCCAATGAATCCTTGGGTTCACGTACTTACTGTCTCTCAGGAGGTGGTGGCCACTGTGGAACTTGAAGGTGACATGAAATAATTTCCTGCCTTTTGACAAGGCCCATTTGCTCAAGAAGTCATAGGTGGTAAAGAACCTTTTGCCAAGGTCTTCCACCAAGCTGTATTCTTCAGCTGTGAGAAACACTCCTGCTCCATCAAACACTTGGATGATGCTACACCAAGCACGCAGGCATTGTACCATAGCCCCTTGCACTTCATCCTCTGAGTCAAGGAGTGCTTGCACCACTTCCAAAAGTGGTGGGCCAAGATACTTCATCTCTGCTGCTTTAGCATCGAGCACAGCAAAAGAACTGTGAGGAGATTTTGGTTCGCACACCGTGGACAACCTGAGGTTGTTTAACCTCACTGGTGTCTTGTCCCTCTTGTAGATGTCCACAATGTGGCTGAAGAGCATGGAAATCTCTGGCTTGCAGGAACCAGCTGTCGCCCTGTGCCATCAAAGAAGCAGATGAAGTGGATCAAGCTGCCACATAGATGGGCTGCAATGCCCCTGCACCAGAAGATGTGCAGGGCATCTCCTCTGATGTGATTTGTGGAGACACCCTCAATGCTGAAGAAGGGATGGTTTGATCTGGGGTTGAGCACAGCTTCTTCTGTAGATACATATCTGTATCTTTGTTTCTCCTCCAACAGGATCTTGAAGCTCTTTCCCTTCTTGCATGGTTTTTTCTTTATGATGGGCTTCTTTGCATCGCAGAAATGGCAGGGTGACACACTGGCCCAATGTGGCAGCTTCAAAATGTTACTCAAGAACTCTTGGTCACCTTGCAAGCACCACAGGAATTCCTGGTAATCCCCTTTTGTCAAGGGTAGCCCTGCCAATGCTTCAAGTTCAGACCCTTTTGTCAAGGCTTCAAAGCTCCATCTGAACCATGTGTTGAGAGGGTGCCAGGTCCCCAGTACTCCACAACTGAAGGTGTCCATGGGTCCTGTCTCCAGGTAATTCTACCTGAACCCAGGTGCAAGTCCAGCTCTTCCCTTGAGAACCTTTGCAGGATTGCTGTCTCTGACTCCCACTTTTCCCTTTTGTCAAGGGTGGAGGACTGGTTGTAGGAATCAGAAATGTTCATGAACTTTGGCACCCTTGACCTGACCATATACAAGGCCACAGCCAATCCTTTGTCTCGCTTACTGAGCTGATCAAACTTTTCTTTTGCCTCTGTGTTCTTCTTGATGAAGGTGTTGTGGGCTGACCATGCATTACTTGCTTCACCTTTTGTCAAGGTTTCCTTCAAGGTTGCAGCTGCTTCTTCAGGAGTGTCTGCAGTCTCAGCAATCTGTTCAATCCTTTCAGACAACTTCATTTTCCCAACTTTTTCAGATTCTGTGCCTTGAGGGTGCTGATCCTCTTGTTTGCTTTTCCTTTTGCCAAGGGATGCTTTCCCTTTCCTTTGAGTATTCCTTTGGGTGCCGATGCTGCTTTGGAGCTGCTTGCTTTGTTCTTGCCTTTTGTCAAGGTCTTTTTCACTGCCTTCATGGCCTTGGGAGCCATTGTGCTACTTTGATGCTTGAACCACAAAGCTTCAGATTCACTCTTGCTTTCAGTACTTTCTTAGTGTGACCCAATCCTTGTCAAAAGGATTTGTGAAAATTCAGCTTCTGATCAATTCTGATCAATTCTGATCAATTCTGATCAGTTCTGATCAGTTCTGATCAAACCATGGTTTTTGTGATAGTTGATCAGAGTTGATCAGAATTGATCAGAATTGATCAGAACTAGTATTTTCTATTTCCAATGAAATCAAACTCTGAATCTGTGGACTCTAGCTATGAACAATTTGTTTATCGACTTTGAGCCCACAGAACTCTGGTGGTGCAAACCTTCAACCTGAAGAATTGTTTTAAGAACTGTTTGTTTGAAGAGTTGTTTTAAGAACTGTTTGTTTTTGCTCCACTATGTTCTTGAAACCTTCTGAGTGCACTGCTGGCTTCTTTCCAAAGCACATAGATATATTTATGTTTATGTCTTATATATATATATGTACACATTGTGGCATGTGCATGTGTGAGAAACACAAGAAAACTCTCGAACTCTTGTAAAGCTTGAGGTGTGTAGCATGTTGCCAAAACAAACCCACACAACTGCCAGCACCTTTTGATGCTGATCAAAAAGGTTTGCCATCTATGAGTCCCCCCTTTGGTCAAGGGGGGCTGGTTTTTACCAGCTCTGTACAGGCTTTGTCCACACCCCTTTGGTCAAGGGGGGCTGGGCTTTACCAGCTCTACAGGCTTTGCCAACACCCCTTTGGTCAAGGGGGGCTGGGCTTTACCAGCTCTACAGGCTTTGTCCACACCCCTTTGGCCAAGGGGGGGCTGGGTTTTGCAAACTCTCAGGCTAGGGATTGTCAGCCACCCTTTGGTCAAGGGCAGCAGTTCATTCCAAGAAGGCTGTGCCAACCACCCTTTTGTCAAGGGGTTCTAGCATCCTTTTGCCAAGGTGCATAGAGCTGTGTTGAGCATCAGTCCTCACTGCACAACCTAGCCCTGAGATCCAATGCCTCCTGTTTTGTTAGGTGCTTCTCTTTCAATTCTTTCATGATGGTATCTATATGCTCATCATATCTCTCTGACCTGACTTTAGAGATTTCCACCACTAGCTTGAGCTTTGGGTTCCCAATTTCTGTTGTGCCAGTGATGTAAGCCCTTTCAGGCTTGTTCCCTCTTGTTTTCTTGAGCTTCACCCAAGGCACCCTGGCACCTCCAGAGCTGGAAGCCACCCCATGAGGTGCCTTTGCCCTTTTGTCAAGGGCTGCAGGTTTCTTGTGTATTGTTTTGCGTTTTCCTTTGCCTGCTGG